GAATTGTGAGGAGAAAAATGTGGATCCGGACCAGTCCGGATCCACATTTCTCGCCTCACAGTTCTGTTGATTGGATTCTCGATGAATTTCGCTCTTCGGAGCGAAATTCATCGAGAATTCGAGTAAGCGCCTCAGGATACTTGTCCACCGCGGAGCCTGCCTCCTTCCGTTTTTCTCCCCTCCTCCTTTCTTCTTTTCCTTCTTTCCTTCTATATTCCTTCCTCTCTTGCCGATTGGATTCTGTCTCAGGGCACTTGCCAACCTGGAAGCTTCTCTTCTCTTTCCTTTTTCTTCCTCCTTCCTTCTTTTCCTTCCTTCCTTCTCTGATCCCTCCTCCTTACCTTCTCCCTCGAACTACTGGACTGGTAGATGCTCGAGAAAATACCCCTGGACCCTCGCAGCGAGAGCACGTCTGATTGACAAGAGCTCCGTAATCCCAGCATTTGAAGGGAAGTGGGTTTAAAATGTAATGATTGAAGAAACAAGGAATAAAGAAGAAAAAATGAAGTATGAGGAGAATTACCACAACTTTTCTCAGCCAATTTTCGGAGGTCGCATGAGCAAAGTTCTCGTATAGCAACCCTAATTACTTTAGAATAAATAAAAACAATGAAAATTGTGAAGGGAAAACGTGGAGCTCAACCGGCCCCCTCGAAGCGAAATTAATAAAGAACAACACCCAAAAACCTCCAAAGCTCACTCACCTTGCAATTTTCGGAACCGGAGCTTGCCCCCAATAGCACACCTTGAACAGCGAAAGCCCGCTGGAATAGTTGAGGATGTAGAGATCCAAATAAAAAGAAAAGGGGTGGAGCAGTTTCGAAACAGGAAATTTAGGCCACGCAAGCATAGCGCTATTTCTGTGCAGGACCCACCGTGCGCTGTGGAGGCGGGTTCGCGCTGCGGGCATTGAGCGCAGTGTTGTCAGCTGATAATTCGACAGTCGACCATAGAAACAGAAGACCTTATATATGTGCAGCCAAAAACCGCGTTACATTTCACCCAGCGAAGTGCAGTCGTCTCGCGTCGCGTCATTCGCGCAGCAAGATTCGAATGTGATCCATTTGCACGATGATATTGACAATTAATGTTCTTGCTGTAATTACAGGAAGAAAGAAACTTTAATTGTCAATATCATCTGACAGGAATCCACATTCAATCGATCAACGCACGCCGCGCAATGACCGCGACGCGAGACGACTGACTTCGCTGGCGTGAAATGTACGTTTGACAATTAAGTTCTTCTAGAACATATAGAAACCGGTCTTGTTGGGCTCTTTGTGAATTCATTGAAATTAGTCCGACTCACTCATTCGTGCGAGGTAACTCAGTCTTACCAGTCGGCTGTATGTTAACGATCAATTGGTTTCAGATTCATGGCACAGGAGGCGGTTACCTCGGACACGGTTGAATTAACCGTGCGATGCGCCTTTCAGACATCTAAGGATATCACAGTCGTCTGCCCATTGAACTGGACAATACGGTTATTAAAGGAGCACCTCCATCAAGTATGCCCATCTCATCCTGTAAGTCTCGCTGTTCCGCTATCTAAAATGTGTGTGAAAAGGTCCTTGAAAAAATGTGTGTAAAAAGGTCCTTGAACTACTTAGTAAGCAGCGTTCATGCGCTGTGCCACTGAAGTAGCGGAAAATCTGTAAATCAGTAATGTAGTTATTGATAGTTTCCGCTCAGTGAGTGATTAGATCGATCGATGGGCTTTCAGTGGTTTACACAGGTTTTTCTGTTCTCCACTGGCGCAGGGATCAAGCGTGGCCTTCCGCAGTAATACTGAATTAGAACTGCTGTTTGTCCCTGCAAATTCGACACCATTTATTTTGTACCTGGTAGGAGAAAGCCAAGAAATTCGTAACTTGTCGCGTCGTCTTGCACGGTATGTCGCGCTGCGATGCGCGACAAATAATTGATCTGGATCAGATTGTAGGTTGGAGCCAGCGGAACTCGTTTGAATTTAAGCGGAAACAAGGCTCCGTGTTAGGCGATATCAAAATCTCCCGTCTCTTTAGCACTCCTTAAGGTCAGGCAGGACAACTCGTCCGTCGGTCGCGGCGTCGCTCGCCACACCCACTGGAGTATATTACGATTGTTTTGTCTCATTCCCCTGGTGGGTGTGCCAGTGACGTGTGCCCTAGGAAGCTTCCTTTGCGCAGGTGTAGCAGAGGTCCGCTTGAGATAGCGTGTCATTGGCGTGTTACGAACTTATTAAATCACTGCCGATGGTGCCCTAAAGCACGTCATCAAAATGCCGTGTGACGTCAGTGACACGTCATCTCTCTTTCAACAGGCAATAAACTGGAGCGGGTGTCAGCACAACGGAGTGAGGCATGCGTCGACGCTTCTGCATCCCTTAGGCAGCGTTCAGACTTCGCGACAGCAGCGCTTCGGTCGCGCGATTCGACGATCGATGCGCATGCTTTCGACTGCATCGATCGCGTCGAACGCGCGACCGAAGCGCTGCCGTCGCGAAGTCTGAACGCTGCCTTAAAGTGCGTCCATACTTTGCGACAACTTTTGAGCGACGAGGATCATATAGATATCGATCACCGCTGAAAGCGCTGGCAGACGCGTATAGCGCTCCTCCAAAGTATGAGCGCACTCTCACACTAATTGAGGCTTAACCTTCATGAAAACTGCATATTTTCGACACTACTTCGGTAACTCTCGTCGTCTGCGCTCTAAGCCCAAGCCATGGTTGGGGAAGGGGCACAGAAACGTGGCCTGATGTTCGCCTCCACTAAGCGCCTTAGCCTTTTCAGTGCGGTTTCGTTTTTTTTTCTTTTGGCCACAATATATGACCGCTTACGCTTCGCATAACGGTGAAATATGAAAATCAGTTGCATGCAAGCAAAATCAATTTCCATCAAGTTTATACATTATTCGCTGGAGAGGGGTTGCCAAGGTAGGGCCAATGCTTGATAGTTTGTTTACCAAGGTTCGAAACATGCCATTCGCTGTAGGCTGCACCGCATGTGAGAGCAGGCCCATAGGTCGGTTTAATTAGCTTGTATCGGCTACCGGTCTATTGGCTCGGCAAACATAGTTTAAAGCGGAAATTGGTCGCTACTTTCAGCTTTGACGTTACCCCATTAGTGAGGGAGGTATCTTGCGAAACGAACAAGCATTTGGCCAGTGTGTAATCGATTATCGCTTTTCTCACGCATGCACCGGAGAAGGCGAAGGGTATTACTCTAGTGTGCGTTAGCTGCACTGCGTGCCTACCAAGATAACAGGATTCGCGGGGCCCATGACCGCCTCTCGAGCGCTTGCAGTCGTTCTTTATTGAGGCTCTGAATCAGCAAATTTGGGTTTTGATGGGTTTTACTCAGTTATAGGATGTCGTGGCCTCTGCCTTCGACAATGCTAAGTGAGAATTGAATGTTAGCAGCTATCCGTATTATGTCGGTGATAATTGAAGTTTGCGCTATCAGAGGCGTTCGCACTTTTGAACCATTAGGAAATATGTGAAAGAAATCAAAAGTGTGTCGACAATCCGCCTGATTGTCGGCTGCATAACGAAGGACTTGAAAAAAATTGGATCAATCGATACAGTCTTCTTCACTGCGGATGTTAGGAGAAGTCAGGGATCTGGGTTTGGCGCGGCGCTAGCCTGTTCCGACCAGTTGTTATTGCGTGCCCTCATCTATAATTAGTGGGGAAATGGCTGGCGCCGCGCCATAGCTAACCCACTGACACGCCGCAGCATCCGCAGCGAACAGAACTGAGTTTGTCTTTTTTGCATACTAGCATTCTGCATTTTCTGGTCTGTGAGCGCGACCTTACGAATCTCAAGTGCCACCAGACGGCGCTACTATATACGAAGCTGATAATAAGTGATCATTCAGGCGGTAACTTCTCAACGGCTCATTTTCTCCGGCGCATGCCTGACGGATGACATGGTCATAAAGGAGATTATGGACCAACGGTACGGTACCTTTTTTGGTTCAGATCAGCTCTTTACTAAGGGGAATCCTACGCTTGCCAGTGAATCACTTGGTTTTCATTTTAGGAAAGTGTTTGATGGGCCACAAGTGCTTCACCTTGTTTGTCCTTTGCCGCAGTATAGTCCTCCAGAGTTGCGGCAACGTCAGGTACCAAACGCGACTGGTCATCCGTAAGTTTTTATAATTTTCCTACTTCCAATCTTTACCACTTTTGCTGTTCCGAGTTTTCTTTCATGGCCTACCTTATTTGTTCTCAGAGCTCGTTCATACTTCGCGATTCAATGGCTCTAATTACGCGAAACTTGCGATCGGCATCATCCGATTGGGGCGGTGAACAAATCGCGACGCCTGATCGCGCACTGTTATTTTTGACCCTCAAGGGGTGAGGTTACATTTGGGAGTGTTTGGTGGAAGTAACCACTGAGACTCGCTAATGAATCGCATCCTTTCACGTTGCGGTGCAGATTTTCTTGCTATTTCGTAGATTGATGAGGCATAAGCTAAGAAAGGTTGAAGTAGACGAGGATAAGTTAGCAACGCCACCTTTTTCGACCCATTTCCTGAAAGTAGTCACATGTGCAGTAGTCCATTAATGCACGTGTAGTTCCTTTGCGATGCGAACGTGCCCCTGCCCATAGCACAGCCCACGGGTCGATAGTACATTTGCGTAAAAAAAAGCGCTTCGATTCCATTCCTCTTTGATAAGTTAAGTCACGCAGGCACATTAATCATCTCAGGGATAGCTGTTCTTTTTCTGATTTTTGACAACTGCGTACAATGAAAAACAGCTGTTGACGGAACTGCATTGGCACCGTCTCATTACACGCTAATATTGGGCTGGGTGAAGCGTTTGACACCCTGGACAAAATTTTGAACTAACATTCGTATTGAGTGGGACCTGTAGTCTGTAGTGCTATCAGGGGGCAGTTCGGCAGGGGGGGGGGAGCATTTTGCACTTTTGCTACTTCACATCAACACGTGGATCTATCTTGAGAGCATCATTTCGTGAGTTTTCAAGACAGGTTCTATCAAAGTGGCCGAAGAGCCTGCTCCAGCTTCACAATAGTTCACCGGTTTCACCAGGGGGAGACTTCGCAACGGAATTACTGCAAGCAACAGAATTAAAAAATGCCCCCCCCCCCTCCTTCCCGTCGCCGAACTGGCACCGGTAGTCACTATTAAGATATAGAAGCTCATCGCTATTCAGCGATGGTGAGATTATATGAGAATGGTGAAGATCGTAAAATGGGAGTCGTGGATGACAAAGCGTGGCAAAGCCTTGGCGCTTCCATTAATCATTTCCGAGCAGCAAAAGTGGGACATAATTTCTGGTTTCGAACGACGCCACCTGGTCCATGGAAGTGCTTCTAAACGTTTGGCTGCGTTCATACTTTGCGTGACCGTTTTGAGCGACTAGGAAAAAATGTATCAATCTAACAATTAGAGCGTTTTCGCGGGTAACTTTTAATTTTCGCGGACAGTCGGGGGCAAAAACGGCAGCGTACGGTCGAACTGCTACCGTACGCTCAAAACGCTGATGCAAAGTATGAACGCAGTCTTTGATGTGTTTTAGAACAGTTTGTTCAAAATGTCGCAGGTCTTATCGCCCAACTAAGTAACTCTGAGCTTCAAGCTATTTTGCTTATCACTTCTATATCCTATCAGTTGCTACCTGCGAACATCTCTATTGTTTCATCCCACTTCATTTACTTTTAATTTATTTGCGAATTTGCGGCTCTAAAATGATTCCTTGCTTCAGAAATCCCGCAAATGGAGCAACTACCACGGCACAGTCTCCCACTGTCTCTTTCCCAGACTGGACGACAAACTACTACGAGTGGTATCAACGTTATTACGGATCAACTGGTCCTAGTCCTGAACAGATAGCACGATTGCAACAGTACTCCGGGTATTATGCCGCTTACATGAACCAGTGAGTTTTAAAGCGTTGAGCAACTCACTGCCCGGTTTTCATAAGCATTTTTCAGGTGGCAGGGATATCATAATTTCATGATGGGTCACATGGGATATGGTGCGCTTCTGGCTCAAGGAATGGGCTCTAGTGAGCCCTCCGCGCATCCCATGCATATTCCTGTTGCACAAGTTGTAAACCATGGTGGTCAAGCTCCCGCTCCTCCTCAAGACGACGTCAATGTGGCTGCTGCAGCAGAACAGGTAATATTTCTCATGACTTGAGCTGTTTCGTCGTGCAATCTGAGATTTCGAAGAGCTAAAGGCTCGTAATCCTGGCTGGGAGGAGTCAGGACACGACATCACTGGCATGCCTTTTTCATTGTCATGAAGGGTGGGGGTGGTAAGAAGAGGAGCCCCTGAAACTCCCTGGCTCCCTGACTCCACTCGCAGTCC